AAATAATGCTCTAAGGTCCGATCAGCATAGTTGGAGTTTTAACCACAGGTGTTGAACAAACACAAATGTGCCTGAGCACAACAGAGATATGTTAGCAGCCCAAGTAGTCAGGGATACGAGTGGCCAGTCACTACTATTATAACAGATTTATTTCAAATATATGTAGATACCTAAGGTTTGAAATGCGTTTTAAACATTCTTTCTTGATCTTTTATTTTAGTTTTAATTCCAGGCTAATAGATTAAATTTAATATTTCCAAAATGCTTTACTGTATTTTAAACCGAATTTAAATTGATCGATTTTTTCTGCTTATCAGTAAACTCGCTAAATTCGGCCATATGATATAGCATAATTCTCTTTATTAAAAAATATTTCAAAATTAAAATATACTTTGCTAAAACTTTATGTAACGGCGATTAACTCCATTAAAGTTTAATTACTTTGAATTAAGACAAATATTACTTTTTTTAATATAAAAAACGCATTTTTAACAAAAAAACATCAGTGTTTTTACGAGGTGCTGACACATCTATCGATGTTTGTGATATTTAAGTAAGCGGGGAAATAATTGTAGTTATATTACGTAACGAATACAACGTAAACACCATTTTAACTACCTCAATGTGTGACTTTGCACGTTTGTCTGAATTAGCTCCTCCTCAGCTCCTTAACCCTTCACTAGGGGTCTCTCTCCCCTGGCTATAAATACTGGCTGACCCTTCGCCTTTTCCTCTTTTTTCCTCAGGCGTTCAGCCTTATACCACCTCGCAGATGTGAGTTCTCACAGATACAGCGTTTCCCAAATTCTGGGAACACGCTAAGAACAATACACATACGTACGAACACTCACACACACACACACACACACACACACACACACACAATATTCACCACATGCACTCAATGTAACTGTCCATGTACTTGTAACTTGTACTTGTTGTTAATACATATATTTGTTTGTATATAATTATCGGTCTTGTTTGTTTTCTTTGGACTTAATTAAAGTCCAGCTTTCTCATGTAGCTGGGCCGGCTAGCAGGAAATTTTAACTCACGTGTATTCTTCTACAATACATACACATCACCGCCACGGTCCGCTACACGTTTCTTTTTTCAGGGTTTATTTAAACAAACCTAAATATGTGTATATAACTTTCACCTTTATTAAACACACTTAAATGTGTGTATATATGAACTTACGCTTCTTTTAAAGGGCCTTATTATATTCACCAGAAGATATATAAAATACCCAAATAAATTGTTATTTGTTGATGAACAAATCTTTATCTTCTTGTTCATTTTAAAATCACATGTTTAAATGCCTTGATTAATCATTATGTTGTACGTTGGCTTAAGATTGCTTTATTCCGGACAGCACCCGGAATAATTAATAATCGCTACCACTACCTTATAGGAGTTAGCCTCAAGAATCAAACACTTTCTGAGTCCCATAAATCAACCATTTCCATAACTGATCCTCAAAAAGTCTGCACCCCCAACAAGATAGTCAGGTAGCTTGGAATTTTCAGAAACAATGTTGACCCCCCACCCCAATGCAAAACACGTTTGCTACTACTGGAGGTGTTTTAAGTGCAAAGAAACCAGGAAGATCACAAAAGTTAGACAAGAGAGATGAAAGAAAGATTGCAAGTCTCTGTAGGCAATCCAAATGAGGGGTGAATATAGTCTTAACAGGGAGGTTTCGATAAGATACGCAGAGTATTACGAAAAAAAACCCAACTTGAACAGTCGTATAATAGAAAAAGGCATCATTAAACAAAAGAAATATCGGAAACAAAGACTGAAGTGATCAAAAGAACATCTAACATGTGATACTGGAAAGTGGTAAAAAGTATTTTTAGTGATAAATGCTAAATAGGGTTAGATTCTAACAGGGTCGATTCAAGTGTCTCGTGCTCCCTTCTAAATCTATGATATAGCCCCCCCACCGACTCTACTAGATCACAATTTTCATAAGGTAGTATTCATATAAATTACAAATTTTGCTGTAACCTAATTGTGTACAATAATAGATCATAAGAAATATAAGTGAAAAATTCAACTAGAAATATTGAAAATAAATGCAATGTATCTAAACACAAATTAGAGACATGTCACGATAGATCATTCCATCTTAAATAAATCAACAATGTTTTGTGGCAATTTTTAATATCAACTTGAGACTTTTCTTGTTAAAAACTTGAATAATTTCAATACATTCAACATTATTGATAAAAATAGTGAATTTTATATGGTGTTTTTTAAACTTAGCATGAGTAAAAAGAATTCACAGATTTGGACAAAAAAAAGGACCCCAATATGACGTCAAAATCCGCGTAAATTTTTTTATTGTTTAATAGTTGTGCTTAGATTAAAATTTGTAACGTATATAAATGTAGGTAGAAAAAAAGGAAAAGTTGATAGCGAAGATCACAAAGCAGTTCCCGGGGCCCCCAAGCAGGTTTCCCTATGGTCAGGAGGTTCAGGGTTACTACGCGCCGGTCCTATATTCTAATGAAAGAGAGTATGTAAGAAAAACAGTGGGAGAATGAAACAATGTAAAATACACCATACAGACGGTATAATTTGGTGGTGGACACGCAATGGTTTTGTATTGTTTCAAAAGCGATGGTAGAAGAAAAGTTGATGGAAGCTTAAACAGCGAAAATTATATTACTTTACTGCAGTCTTTCTGCCACAAAGATGGGGACATTTTTCAGCGTGACGGTATTCCTTGCTACACATCACATGAAACAAAAAGGTTTCTTGTGAACGAAGGTGTTCAGTTTTTGGAAGACTGACCAGCACAATGTCCTGATCCAAAGATAATTGAACCATTGTAGTGGGAAATGAAGAAACAAAAGCTCCAATACTGCCAAGAAGAATAGAGAAAATTCCCATTAAGAAAATATGGACGATATTTCAATACCACAGCGAATGTAGGCAATTATTCGAGTCAATGACAGCAACACTAATTACTAACTCAGTATTTTGACGTTTTGTACTTTCTGTAATAATAAAGATCACTTTTTGCAAAGAAAAAAAAATTCTTTTTAACTTAAGAGCTGAAAGGTGAATTTTTACCTGGTGGCTCAGTATGATCATTGAGCCAGTATGATCTTTGAGCCAGTATGATCTTTGAGCCAATATGATCTTTGAGCCAGTATGATCTTTGAGCCAATATCATCTTTGAGCCAATATCATCTTTGATCTTTTATCAGCATCGCTGTACTTAAGATGCTATATCATCCGCCATACAGCATTAACGAAAATGCGATAACTTGTTTTTTGGCTCAACCATTCGTCTATGCCTCGAATATTGCCGCCATATATGGTCCGGTGCTCCTGCTATGTAGATTCTTGATAAAATCCAAAGATGAATTAGCAATATTATTTTTTCTGACCTGGCGTCTCGGCATCAATCACTTTCCCACCGCTGTAAAATCGTCCCCCTGTGCTTTTTCTATGAATATTTTCATGGTAATTGTTCAGGTAAGCTCTCTGCTATGGTACCTAGACCTAATGAATTTAAGAGCAGTACTAGATAAGCAACAATCAATTGACAATTGAATTGCTTAGATGTAACCGTAAGTTCTATGCTAACAATTTCCTTTATCGCACTTGTGAGACGCTCTTCTGACATCTTGCTTTCCAGTCAACTTTGATCTTCAAAAATTTAAATGCAATGTTAATCGTTATCTACTGTCCTCTTGATTACTCTTCTAGTGTTCTCGCTCCTTAATAATGTTTCTCTTCTTTTTTTCTCTACAATCTTAACCTTAAATCTAGAGTTAACCGTTATCTTCCCTCCTATCCATATAAAGTACCACTTAACGTAGCCCTCTAACTCGTGTGAAAGGTTTTTGTACAGGGTGAACCTTACTGTAAAAAACAAACAAAACAAACTGCCTTTACTTTTACCTGTACTCGAACACTGAACCCTACATCACAACCATGAAGCGGACGAATATTGAATTTTTCTTAAATTTCTTTTTTTTTCTCTCTATTTTTCTACGTCATGTATGAACATAAAACAGATTGTTAATGAAAAACAGTCGTAGAGAAAGGATTGAGCTGTCCTTCCTTTTCGTTCGTTGGTTGTCTGTTCCCATTCCTGTCAAGTTGGCATCAGGTAGCAGTAACTAGTGTTATTTCAACTAGATTAATTTATAGTTAAAAGACATTTTTTTTTAGATCCGTGTTTCTTAAACTATTTTTAGTGTCATTCATCCTCAAGACTTTATCACAAAATTTCATTCACTCCTGACTAAATATCCTTATTTTTTTCCGCATCAGTCTCGTTTTATTCTCCCTTGTGGATCAAGAATACATTTTGCATCACGAGGCAAAAATAAATAAATAAATTAAAATAATAAAATATAACAGAAAATAAATTAAGTCAATCCCTATTTTTAATTCAAGTTTTTGTACCCTCCTAAAACGGAGAATGACAAAAAAAAGTTAACATAAAAAATTATTATTTTTTTCTAGTTTACATCAAATTAGTAAACAAGTCTTAGAACTTAAAATTCAATTCTTAGTTGCTATTATTTAGGGATGCCCAATTTTTCGCTAAAAAAAGTGGCAAAAAAAAGGTAAAAAGGTCCCAAACTTAATAAAATCAACGTTTTATCACGAAAAACTGTTATTAATAAGAGTAAAGACCGAAGTATTTTTTAATTATTTTTTGAATTTTTTTTATTCCTTTTTAGCACGTTTGAATTTGTGGTTGAAAATCTTACTTTTTTTTTTTTAAGTAAAGAAAATTTCCAACCTGACTAAATTAAGTCATTCATTCTTCATGTCTCATTCACCCTGTATTTACCCCTCTATATCCATTCACCCCAAAATATTTTCATTCACCTTTGGGTGAATCATTCACAAGTTTTAAGAAGCATTGTTCTTGACTATAAGATTTAAGATGGCGTCAATGAGTGGATGTCAAAAGGGGAAACAAAAAAATAGGCAAACAAAAAACGGTTGAAGTCGGACGAAAAATATTAAAAACTAATAGAAAAAGTTGTAAATATAAAAGGGAGGAGCCAACAGAAAATAAGAAATGCAAACCCGAGGTGAAGGAGTAAGAGAAAGCGAAGAAGGAGGGGATTAAAATAGGAGAGGAGGAGGAGAAAAACAAAAAAGAAATGGCGGAAGATCAAGGGAAAGTAGTTATAGGGAGGATGATTAAGAGAAAGAAGAGTGGGAAAGGGTGAAGAATTGAGAAGAGTAGCAGAAATAGTAGTAGTAGTAGTAGTAGTAATAATAAGAATGTTAAGATCAAAAAAAGAAGAAGAGAAAGAAGATAAAGAAAGAGGATTTAAAAAGCATCCGAAGAAAGAGATCTAATACGAAGTATACAAAAAAAAAGGACATAAAATATTGGGGAAAAAAAGAGCAAGCAGGCAGGAAGTAATGGATAGACGAACGCCAGGTCGGTCCGTAAAGAGGAAGACGAGGAAATGGAAGTAATGTGAGTTGTCATTATTGAACTGTTGACCAAGTGTCCCCTGCCCGCTTCAGCCTGATTGACAAGACTAACCGAAATTATAAGTTGACCTTTATCGCTGGAATGGTGAGGTTGAACAACCCTGGCAGATCAGGCAGTAACACCATCCTAATCACGACCTTTTTTATCACTATTATTTGCGTTTCCTCTGAGCGGTGCAATGTCATCTGGGCAGTGAATTGAAGGGCTGACCCTTACGTGTTTATTCAATTGAAGTTGAAAGTGTGCGGTGGGACAGTGGCAACATATCATTGCAATTTTGCGTGTATCTAGGGTAGCAAAATTGGGGTAGATGAGGAAAGACAAACAAGCATCGAAACAAAAAGGCTGCGAGAGACAGAGATAGACAGAGAAAGAGATAGACAGATAGAGACAAAGACAGAGACAGAGACAGATAGAGAGTGTGTGTGTGAGAGAGAGAGAGAGAGAGATGGTGGCGTGTAACTTCAAGATACAAAAATAAACTGATGGACAGATAAATTAAATATAAAAACATTAGAAGTGATAGAGAGATAGGTTTGAAAAGACAAAGACATTGATAGATAAACTAAACGAATAGGTTTGAAAAAATAGTATTATATGAAATGGATTTGAATCCGATAGATATTTTAATATATTTTCTGTTTATAGGTGAACACCTTGTGTACTAGCGGCACTCCCGCCTTGCTTGAGGGTGAAATGCTTATAAAAGATGATACGACTTATTTCAGTAAATGCTCTGTTTTAATTAAACAGTCAGTCAGTTATGTGGCATGCGTGATACACGCTTAGGCGATCATGTATCTTTCGATACATGACTGACGAGGCAGATTTTTTCCCGCAGTAGGTTGCTATTTCTTTCGGCGGCAGACCAGTTGCCATCCAAGGCCGTAGAACCCGGTCTATTCTGCTATTTACCCATAGCTGGGGTGAGGTGAGGAGAAGAAGAGGATTCATACCTTTCCCAAGGGTGTTAGCACGTAAGTGAATGTAATGGATTCGACTGGAATTCGAACTTGGCTCTCCGATTCCTCAATCCGTGCTGCTGTCCATACCAGCCTGAATGTTCGAGTAATTTCGTAGAAAATACGCGTTCTCCGACGGGAACCGAACTTATCACCCATACAGAAATCGCCATTATAGCGTGGCGTGCTGTTTAAACATTCAGCCACAGAGAGCTTCCCGGTTGGTAAAGTTCAAATTACTGCTTATAAACACACATCTTCGGCGATCTTTCTCGACAATTCATTTCTGCTCCGAAATGTAACTTAACGTAAACAATGACAACATATTAGATGAAATGCATTAAATTCGATAAATAGTTGAATATATTCTTTGTTTATCAAAAAAAAACAAAAAAAAAAACAAACAAAAAAAAACGTATTAACAAACCACATTTGTTAGAACCTGTTAACCACCAGCAACCCTGTACATTGAGACTTGTAGTTTAGAGAAAGGTTTATGAATACGTTCATTTGCAAGTACTAAATGACATTTCAGATTGATTGCTTTTAGAAAAGGCATCTTATGAGGTTGGCTTGCTCAAAAACGGACTCTGAGCAGGACACTAGTATTAATATTTCCTGTTACTTTCGCTCCTCCTTTCTCATAAACGGAACTAAACATAGAGGAAACAGGAGCAACGATGATGCAACCAACCGCCGCCAAACAGATTTGTTTTCTGCCCTACAAAGCTGCGTCGGAGTGCCCATCCTGGTCCATTCTTTGATGTTGTCCATCTGGCTTTTAGATTACTTCCCCTTACGTCTACCTGTTTGAAGCAAACTCTTGGGTAGCCACAACAGCTTTCTCCTCTTAACTGTTGCCAAGAGGGGATACTAGGGGCCTGCCAGTTGTGTTACTTGTCTCGAGAAGGTATCTGAAGCATTTCGTTTGTTTGAACTCTCTTCGTGGTTTCTGCTATCAGAGTCCATAGAGCAGTATGGGCAGCACTAGAGATCATCTTGGTTTTTTCTCTTCCAAATCTTACTGTGTTTTGACATTGCCCATGTTTGCCATATCCAGTCTGCTCTTGATCTCTGTTGCAGAGCGTCCATCTTTGGTGAGGGTAATGCCATGGTATTTAAAGGCATCCACTTATTCCAGTTGTTCACCGTTCATAAAGATCTGGGTCCTGATGTTGGTTGTGCTGTTGACAAGGACTTTATTTTTCTCTGTGCCCACTTCCATTCCATAAATCCCTGCTCTGTTTATCAATCTGTTGGTGAGACCCTGCAATTCAGAGTTGCTGCCGCCTATCAAGTCAATGTCATCAGTAAAGCGTAAATTGTTAAGGATTCTCCTTCCTATGAATTTAAAGCTCTGAAAGGATTGAAAAGTTTCTCGCATATTGTTCTCAAGAAAGAGATTGAGCAATGGCGGGGAAATAAAACAACTATGAAGCTGTAGTCTTGAAACAGTCACCCACCTGACTGCTGAGAAGGACCACACTGCTAGAGGTCTTATACAGTTCCTCGATACTTTAGATGAGCATCTCTATACCAAAATTCCCCAGGACATGCCATAGACCGTCATGCCGCAATCTATCGAAGGCCTTCTTGAAATCTATAAAGAAATGAAACAGATCCCTCTTACGTTGCAGATGTTTTTCCATCAGAATGCAGTAATTGATCTGTTCTACGGGGCTTCTGTCTGCTCTAAATCCAGCTTGTTCTTCTGCTAGATATTCTTCAGCCTCATTCTGAAGTCTGTTTAAAATGACACGCAGCATAATTTTACTGGAGTAGCTAATAAAGCTAATGGTCATCTAGTTCTGGAACTAGCGGAAATTTCCTTTTTGGGGGCATGGGGATGATGAATGATTGTCTGTTCCATGGGCCACTGTTTGGTCTCTCAAATTTTCTGGAAAATCGATGTTATTACCGTGACCAATTGATTCCTTCCATGCTTAAGCAGTTCCAATGGAATATTATTTGCTCCTGGCGACTTCCCTTTTGGTAAGCTGCTTCGTCCAGCTTTTCCCTCAACATTGGAAGTGATGAAGATGTCCTTGTTGATGTCGAGTCTCCATCAGTCAAACTGATGCCGGTCTGTACGGAATGGTTGTATAGGTCCCGACATTATTGTGTCCATCTGTTCGCAACTGCGGTGTTTTCGGTTAGAAGTTCACTCGAGCTATCCTTGATAACTGTGGATTCGCTCCGCCATGACTTCGTAATCTTTTTCAGTGTATCATATGCTTGTCTGCTGTTTCCTTTTTCCGTTCCTTTCTCGATGTTTTCGCACTGCTGGTAACCATGACATATTTGGAAAGGATATTAAAATAATCCAGAACCTATACTGGCAGCAAACCACCCGCATCCAGGTATAAAATAAATCCAGTAGATATACAAAAATAGAAAATAGTATACGACAAAGATGTGTCTTCTTACCGGACTTATTCAACCTATATAGTGAAGCGATTCTGAGAGAATTAGAAGTCCTACCAGGATTTATTATTGGCGGCAAGAATTTTAACAGCATAAGATATGCAAATGACACAGTGTTGATAGCAGATACGGAAAGCAACCACAGGAACTCGTACGGTGGCGAATAAAAGGAAACATTAACTGCAGAAAGACAGAATGCATGGTTGTCAGCAAATTACAACATGCAAATTACAAATTGGAGATACCAAAATCAAACAAGTACAACAATTTAAAAATCTGGGAAGTGTTTTAACTGAGGACGGAAATTGCGACACTGAAATCAGCACTAGCTCAATGGATTAGTCAATAATGGATCGCAAAAGCTAAACAAAGTATTAAGAAACAAAAAAAAATTCGTTAGAAACAAAGAACAGAGTACTGAACTGCTACGTAATATCAGTTATCCTATATGGCATGGAATGCTGGAAAATCTTGCAGAGGAAGAGGAGACTTGAAGCAGCAAAAATGTGGTTCCCCAGAAGGATGTTGAGCATGTCATGGACCGAACATGGGAGTAGCGATCAAGTTTTAGAAAATGGAAAGCATAAAGGAAACTTATCCTTAACATCAAGAAGAGACAGTTGAAATTTCCAGGAAATTAACGAGGAAAGAGTGCTTGGAAAGTCTGATACTCACAAGAAAGACTGAAGGGAAGGAAAACAACGCATAACTTACTTAGTAAGCTTCAGTAAGTGGATGACGGAACATGGTTTAGGAGAAATAACAAAAAGACAACATTTAATAAGAGCTACAAAGGAGAGGAAATTGTGGAGAGCCATGATCGCATACGTCCTGAAAGGAAACGGCACATAGAATAAGTATATTTTTTTAAATCCTTCCACCCAAAAAATCCTACATTCAGAAGCAAAACAGAATTTATATCAGGTTCTCCTACCTAATTAATTAGTTAATTGAAATCAAGGCCTAACCAAATTCATTAATTGTTTGGCTATTTGGATATTTTATATTGAGTTGAACAAAAGATAAAATTTAATAAGAGCTAAAAATGAGAGGAAATTGTGGAGAGCCATGATCGCCCACATGCTGAAGGGAAACGGCACATAGAAAAAAAAATGTTTATAATCCATGTACCAAAAAAAGAAGAACATCCTACATTCAGAGGCAAGAATGCCTTTCTCTTCGTTTCCCTGCGAAATAGAATTTATATCAGGTTCTCTCCTGCCTAATTAGTTAATTAAAATCAATGCCTAAGCAAATTACTTACTTGATGGTTCACTAGTTCCACCACGAACAAGATTCTACTGCCAAAATATTCTAGACGTTACGACGTGAATAATTATAATACAACTGAGATCACTAAATTAGTTTCTTCTGGAAATATATGAAAATCAGTATAGGAATATTTATTATTTAATAATTATTATTTATCCGGGAAAAATTGTAATTTTTCTATTTATATTTTCCTTATGACTTTTATTTTGAATATGGAGTTTTTAATTTTAAGTTGTTAAATATTAAGTTGAAGAAAATTATCATTATATGTACATCTGTTTAACAAATTTAACTGCCTCCATCTAAAAAACAAACTCACCTGCAACAGCATTTGAAAATTTTAGACCATGTCAATAATTTCAGTAAAAGTTTTATATATATATATATATATGTGTGTGTGTGTGTGTGTGTGTGTGTGTGTGTGTGTGTGTGTGTATTTTTAAGGTGTGCTACATTTATGGGATAATGTGCTCAATATCAGAGATAGAGCGTATGTAAATATAAATATAAAAGTGAACATTGAAGTCAACACTCAGAGGCGACAGGCTGTTTCATGCTAGATGTAATCGTCAAGCCGCCTGACATATATATATATATATATATATATATATGTGTGTGTGTGTGTGTGTGTGTGTGTGTGTGTGTATTTTTGGGAAAGTTTTGACAAATTGGGAAAAACATTTCGTATAACTTGTTTCATCCTTTCTTTCGGACTAAACTGATGTTTACGTTGATGTGTTTACATATGTGCATGAAGGAGATGGGACACTGAAATATTCAATATAAATTTACTTTTTAAATATG